CCATGGTTGTAGTCTATAAATAGATGTTGTAACCATATGTAATGGTCATCGAGTGTTATGTGTATGAAAAATTTCCCTGAGTCTAAATGTATGCAATGAGTTTGTACTACTCTCTTTTTATAAATATTTCGTTCTCAAATATTAAAAAGTCTATCTTGTTCCTGCTCTTCTAGTCTTCTTAAAAGCTTTTTGAGGATTTCCGAAAAGGAAATTCTTCTCCATATCCAAGGTACCATGTCTTCTTAAATTTCTAGTTATAATGTATATTCTTTCGCTTGTTAGTCTCTCTTTCTAGTTTATATTTTTCTTAGTTTGTCTACATATCATGTTATGGGTTAGGTAGGTTTGCCCCATTTGATATGGATCACTATTCACCGACCCTACTTTTTTTGGGTAAAATAAAGAAAGCAACAATACAACAAACAAAACCCTTAACTACCTAACACCCTGGGGTACAAAGACCTCATTCTATCATTATCCAACAGAAGCCTACATCCACTATGGGGAGTATGAAAAAGTTGGATTTCTAATTATCAGCAACGAAGTTGGAAGCAAGCCAATCTGCAACTGAATAAGCTTCTTTATAGGCATGAGAAAATTTAACGATCCAATTCCTGCTGCAAAACTCCTGGATCTTGACAACGATACTAGCAAAGGCATGGTAATCTTCACAGTCCTTCTTGATCAAGTCTAAAGCTGACCTTGAATCAGATTCAAGCCAGACACACTTAAACCCTCTATCCCAAGCTAGGCTCAGCCCCAACAAAATTCCCCAAAGTTCAGTCATGAAGGAGTTGTAGAACCCGGTATTCTTATTAAAACCCATCAACCATACCCCACAACTATTTCCAATAACACCTCCACACCCAGACTTCCTACCACAATCACTATAGGCTCCATCCGTATTAACCTTCACCCAATTTGATACCGAGAGAATCCACCTAATGAGCATTTCGTTTGTTGTTCTAGCAGATAATCCTGAAGAAACAAGGGTGTCAATGGCTTAATTAACATTCAGAGCAAAATGGTAGGCGCTAATGCTAATTCTAAGAGGATTAGACGTCTACCCATTAAAAACCACATTATTCCTCTCCTTCCATATGAACCAACAAACCACTCCAAAAAGAAGATTCCAATTAATCTGGTAAGCTCCAAGTTTCATTCTTCTAAGGTTAACAGCCACCCAATCCAGGAGAGATCCGTGCAAGAATCCCAGACGATCTGGGTCACGAATAAGATGAAACCAAACCTCCCTAGTCCAATAGCAATCTCTAAAGAAGTGTAAACAATCCTCTACCTGAGAGTTGCATCCAGGGCATAAGGCGGAAGCACACATGTTTCTTTTGGCCCTTATGTCGTGAGTCATGAGTTTATTCCCGAAAAGAAGCCAAAATGTCATTATAGACAAATAAAATACCTTCCAAATATTTTATCCAATTGAAATTTTAAAAATGACAATTCTTTGAGGACCCTCCCACTTCCAAGTTAATCCTCAGTCAATTGAACTATAAGGCAGATTGTGGGAGTTTAACTTGTTGTGACCCTATCAAAGCCGGTAAGCAACCATTAGCCATTGATAAGGAATTAAAATAGGTTAGGGCCATGGTAAATGTAGTTAGGATAAGTGAATAGTAACATAATCTTGCGGATAGGATGTAGAGCCTTGCCCATAATCATGTCATGGGTAGGGGTGGTAAACAAATCAGGGGTCTTTCAAGGGCATTTGGCCCAGCTCGTGAAGCCCTGAGCTTATATGTCTAAAATTGGTTGTTAGAACCAGGCTTGAACTTGTATAAAAGCTCATTTAATAAAAAGTCTCAGGCTCCAATTCAAAAACCCGATCTTATAGCCTCTCAGGCTGACCTAGTCTACTAACTTTTATTTTATTTTATAGTTTTCATACACTCATAATATTCCCCTCTCTCTCCTCAACCCATTTCACCCAATTTTATTGGTTAAACAGACTTTTCGAATGATTTTATTTTATATTATGTTGTTTGGATATACATTGAATTTATGAATCTTTGTGAAATTATTAGTGTTGTTGATCGTATATTTTGTTTGGATAAATTTTTGTTGTCTTATTTTTTTTAACAGGCTAAACTAGGTTTTTATTTTTTGTAAATAAATCAGGCCACTGACCGATAATTATATTCACAACAGGTAACAATCTAGGCTTTAAACACAAACTTAGCCTTTTAAGATCAAAGCTCGGCCCATTAACACTCATAGTCATGGGTCTTACACACTTTTATATGGGTATAAAAGATAAATTTATCTCCTACAATATGAGAAACATTAAACCCAAAGTTTATATGCATATAAAATATCATATATCAATGAAATATGTATGAAATCTATTAACGATAAGAAATGCAAGAATAAGCTCAGAAAACTATCTCTTTAATTGTACATATATCATATATGGATAGAAAAATTTACAAAATTATCCTTGCAGGAGCACAAAATGGTCAAACCAACCCAGAAAGCAAAATGTAATTCATGGGATAAGTTATTACCAACTTAATCACCCAATTAAGTCTAAATTGTCTATCATACGAAGCTTCTTTTTGTTCAAATACATAAACCGAAAGATCCACGAACGTGGCTGCTTAGATTTACTTAGAGAACAAAAACAAAACAAGTTGCAGCAATACGACAATAGAGCTACAGGCCAACAAGTGTTATTGTTCCACAAATGCATGATAGATGACGTTCTTATTTTGAGTCCTATTTTATGGCCATTGGTCAAACCTGATATGGTAGTTATTCCTGTTATTTCTCTCTCTCTCTCTCTTTTAAATATTTTTCAAAAATTTATTTTAGGTGTACCAAAAAACATAAATTAATTTTCTTTGTCTTTGTTGACTGAAAGTCGCATAACAATACAAAGGCAAATAATAATAATAATAAATGTTAAACAACCCACATGTCCAAAAAATTGAACTTCGTCTGGGATTACGGTTTTTAAAATTGTGACTAATTACCACAATTAGATATCGGGAAGGTTATACTTACCATCAATTAAGTTTACCATTTCTTATCACTAAATCTTAATAGTTGATTTTCACAAATTTGATAGTTATAATTTATTGGATGAAACTTATTAATTAATTATTAAATTTTTAATAAATTATAACCGTCAAATTCACGGAAATCAACGGTTAAAATTTGGTGGTAAGAAGTGATAAACTTAATTGGTGGTAAGTAAACTTAATTGGTGGTAAGTATAACCATCCTCATTAGATATATAATTTATATATTCTATGAAAAGGGATATATTTACAACCTAAAAGTTTTACAATCTCTTACCATTAAATCTTAACCGTTGATTTTTCGTAAACGGTTATAATTTATTGAAAATTAATAATTAATTAATAAATGTGACCCAATAAATCATAACCGTATGATTGATACAAATATATTCATTTATACATATATGATTAAAAATGGATCTTTTAAATCATTTATTAATATAAAAGGTAATTCGGTTAAACAGAAGTTAAATGTTTTTACCAACAACAAAAAAAGGGTTAGATGTCTAATGTCTATGATTATTAAGTATAACTAAACAAGAATATCGTAAATGTCTAGGTGTTTAATATGATATAACAAATATGAGAATCCTATATTTGTAAATATCTTACGTTTAAGTATCTTATACCCACACATGTTAAGCGTCGTTGATGTAAACACCTCATACTTCTAAACCGCAAGGCTTTTGATATACACCACTTAACAATCAATGATGTTAAACCACACACATTAAAGCATGAATTGTGGCTGGGATATCTTACAATGGATAATCAAAGTTCATGTTAGATATTCTTTTTTTTCGTTCTCATACTAATTTTATGTGTTTGAGATGTGTATAATATCCGAGCTTGAAAAGGATGTTTGAACGTTATCTAAGATGCATGGATCTCTGTTTTTCAGGAGTAGGTTTCATATGCATATCATATTCTTAAAAGAGATTAAAAAAAAGTTAGGTTTCTGTGATTATTAAGTATAACTAAACAATATCACAAATGTCTAGATGTTTAACACTTTAAGATGCTACAGCAAATATAAGAGTCCTAAATTGGCAAATATTTTACATTTAAGCATATCTTATACCCGCATATGTTAAGTGTCGTCGTCGCAAACACCTCAAACTTCTAATAAGGCTTTTGATCTATACCACTATAACGATTAATGATGATAAACTAAACATTAAAGCATGAACTGTAGCTGGGTGGTGATATCTCACCATGGATATCAAAATTCAGGTTTAGATTTATTTATTTTTTCATTCCCTAATTATGTTTGAAATGTATATAATTTTTGAGCTTGACGAGGATATACATAAACGTTATCTAAAATACAAGTATCTTGTTTTTAGTAGGTTTAATATGCATATAGTTGGTTTCAGCGGTTCATGCTTTATTACATTTAAGCAAAGTCTTGAATTTAAGTCCTTGTGAATGCAAAAAATTCATTTTCAGTATTATTCATCTCGCAATAATACCGAAAACCAAATACAAAATCTAGTTGTGCATGTAGAGACGTTTTCCTGCTGATAAAATTACAATCAAGTTACCAAACAGAAGACTTTTTCCATATAAGATTAGAGTCAGGCCAACTTTCTTAATTTTGAAATTCTCCATAAAAACTCAAAGGCAGTAACAAAAATATGAAAAACAAGGATAATGTTCCCGTCTGTTTTTTTTTTTCAACAAATAATATTTTTAATTAAAAAAAGTTTAAAATCTTTTATAATAATTAAATAAGATTTTCAGAATATTGCCCCGAAAATGCATTCTATGCTCCATGAATGCACTTACCAAATATGCTTGATTCTACCGTGGACAAGGAACAACTGACAATAATATACATAGCTTGCTATGTCTAGGAATTACAATGAAGCTGGATAAAATTGACAAAAAAAAGGGGGGGGAAGTATATACATTCAAAATGATTTCTCAAACCTCGCTTTAAAGCAAGAAAAAAAAATCCACCCGGAGAATTTGAATGAATCAAAACTAGATACATGGTTAATCTAGTTAATTACAATACAAAAGACCCCTATGGATCCCCAGTGTATACAAATCAACTCTGTAACATGACCTATTACTATCCATCATGGAGCCGCACAAGACATGTGAATCTAGACTCAGGGTCGCTTGAGCAGTTGAGAGCATTTAATAAACTGAAAATGTCAACCAACGAAACCCTAGTCTTTCACAGTCCAACCCACTTCACCCATCTGAAAATCCTACCAATTCCCAAGGGCAACTCATAGTCATTAGCAACAGCAGGTTCCCTTCTAGCAACCTCAGGTTCGGACCAAACATATACCCCACGTTCCTGCCGACTACCAGGTACAGTATTATCCAGAATAACAGCAACAAGAAACGCTATCACCATGTGTAGTGAGAAAAGCGTGTTCAAGACATAGTTCAACTGCCAAAGGATCATATTAACAAGTGTTATTTTAGAAAAACCTGTCATGTCAACTTGAAGTAAAAAAACTTTGCACCAGTACAGTAGTTTTTAACCAACATTCAAGTACTAAATAACAAGGGAACTACATAATTAAAGCTAACTCCACATACATACTTATTAGCTAGTTCACTTCATCATGAATTCAAGAAGCCATATTATATAACAAAATGATGATGCAGCAATTACTAGTTAGTAACTGTTAAACAGAACAGGCAGGATTCTGTCAAAAAGAAGCTTTATATACGGACAGAAATATTAGTCAACACAACAGAGCAGTAGGTAATTGACCTTAAAAGCATATTTAACCAACTAACTATTCCCTATTGAATAAGTAGTTTCAACTTCCATTCACTAGATCATGGAGATAGATATGCAGTGACATAGTTTTGCCAGGTGCACCCACCCTGAGAGATGAAAGTGGCCGTTGGATGACTTTTTATCTTTCTGAAAATCTTACAGTAGTTAACTAATTTTGAATCCAAAATTTGACAATTAACAAATTCAAGCACAAGATTCATAATAGTAAAATGACATGACACAGGCATACCCCTCCATATTTGCTGCGAAAAGGGCCGTGAGAAGCCACAATGTAGGGCTGAAAATAACTTGGTACAGACAAGTTGGAATTTGGAGAAATTCCATATTGTTGAAAGTAGGCAGGTATGGAAAGAGAGAAAAACAATGATAACCCAACTATGATGATATTGCGAGAGCTTCCAGCCTCACTATAGCGTAGATTTGACAAGCCCAATGCTGTAAGCATTGCCCACATAAAGCAGAGGAGACCAGCAACCATGACTTCAGGAATTGAAGCAATGAACCCTCCAACCTTACCTGTTGTATGGCATAAGCATAATTAAACATGGATAAGCTAAAATCGCTAAAAAAAATTCTATGGATGAGAGAACAAAGTATATTAAATGGGCAGAAGAGAAGCAGGCAAAAAAGCAAACTATGAATGACTTGCATAATCCTAAGTGTCCCATGGCTTGTTGAGTCCCAAAAATGGATACAATCAGCACAAGAAATCAACAGCTTTTTGAAGCTTCTATGTAGGTTGATGATGGACTTGGTAATGAATAACCACTAATATATGCTGAACATGTGGATAGTCCCCTGGGAAAGCATCTCTGAGAAGCTTCATACCACTTACCATAAACACTGGTTTACTAAGAATGGGATTTTATGCAATGCCAGCAACTATAATGCTTTAAGGAAATACGATTTCAACAGAAAAATTGAAGGCAAGATAGGTTCCATCACATAATATAGATATCAACTCTAAATCATCAGTTCAAAAGAGCTTATAGCCAACAGTTTTTGAGTATTTAATTTGCTATGCAGAGATAAATAAAGCCCACTGAACCATTTGCAGCAAAGAGATATGAAACACAGACACTTCAGAAAGCAACTGCGTACATGTCCAACATGTATCAAACACAACACAGTACTTCAAATATACTTGAACATTTTAAAGTTTTCGGCATTGGTGAACATGTCGCATGTCCATGTTAGTGTTTATGATTCTTCACTAAGGAGGCTAAGGATTGGTGATAAAATAACATCCTAATGACTGTAATTTTGAAATAATGTGGTTATTGGTAAATTAGCAATATGCAATTTAGGATGCAAGCATTTGTGAATGTCTGAATTGGGATCCACTGAATATTAAAGATGGCAATATTATGTAATCATATTTGCGTGAATAACCTTAGCAATGTTAAGACTGCCTAGTAGCAATCTAATGTACGTTCATAAAAATTCTGGCACCATATACACAGAATTCAAGAATATGGTTCATTCAATGGCTCTGAAGTGATAAAGCAACATAAAGTCCCTGGAAAGAAGTTTTTCTAAGTGCATACTGCATAGGCCAGGCAAAATAAGCATTAGGTCAAAGAAGTGGCAAATATCTTCTTGAGGAATTTTAAGGAGTTCATGGAATGAAATTACAAGTCAGTAACCTATGATAACTGTTTTCACTTTTCAATTTCAGCTATAGACTTTATTTTGTCAAACATCATATATTGAAAATTTCAAACTACACAATTTCTCAATTCCTAACTAAAAATTTGTATAGTTACAATCTTAAAGACCAGCTTCTCTTAGAATGCATTATTCAGAGCACAGTTAAATGCATATAAAACTGCTAGGGCCTTAGTCATACCTTAAATGCATCACAAACGTATATTACAAAATATCAGTATATTATCTTACGTGCAGAATCACAAGCCTATGGGAAGGCCTAATGCTCAGTGCATCTATTCTCTACCAGAGTTTATCTCCTTCCAGTCTCAAGTCTGGTTATATCAGTCTCAGACAATCTACATCAGATTTGACTTAATAAACCCTAGGCCTTCTCATTACTCTATGCACACATTACAGATGAGCTAAATATTCACAATAACCTGTAAATTTTTACATCACTATCTAATTTAATATATTCTAATTCTTTTCCACTAAGCAATTTAGGCCACAAAAAACATACACTTTATTCATTTGTTTGAAAATTATTGATAAAGTGCAAAGTACAGTAGCCATTCATTTGGACAAGAATTTACATAAGATTAGAAACTAAGAGTTCACTTGGATGTAATAATGAATGAAATTAATGAAAAAATTGTTATTCTACTGCTTCTCATTCTTTAGAAAGCCTGACTTCCAGAAATGATGCTTACAAACATCAAATGCTTTACACAAAACAATTGGCCTTTACCAACAGGATGAAATTTCAGAGTCATTGGACAACCAAGGAAACCCAAGATATTGCATGATAAACAATATCACAAACTGCATGAGGGTTGATTGACCATTTTGCTCCTGTTTACATTTTTTTTTCGTCACTTTGCCTCTCTTCCCAAACTATATATCAATCTACCCCTCTTCTCAAACTATATATCAATCTACCCTGTTTGATCAAAGTTTGATCGGCACTTACTCATTTACTCGAATAAATGACTTACCAAGGACTAGGGTTTGGTCAAACTTCGATCAAATAAGGGCAGATTGGTATATAGTTTGGGAGCGGCAAAGCGGTAAAAAAAATTAAAATAGGGGCAAAATGGTCAATCAGCCACTGCATGTGTTCTTTATGAGAAATATGAATGATGCATAACCCAAATGGCTTTTCATCCCAATAAATCTGCTCATGATAAGTGTACTTCCTATGAAGGTTAGATCCTAGAACAAGAAGATAATTGACACTTACCCACAAGAGACAATACAATCAGAAAGCATGCACCCAGTTGAACTGCCCTGCGGCTACCCATTTTAGTCACAGCAATTGTGTGAACATTTTCAGTTAAAGTTGTAGACCCAGTTCCAGTTCCCCATAGGCCAGCCAAGACACTAGAAAGACCTTCCAAACCAATTCCTCGACTCAGAACTCCAGGAGTTGGAGGTCTGGATGCTACCAATAATGAAGATGCATGGTATGAGCCAACCTACAAAGTTTAAAGCAAATGAGTATCAACACAGTAAAGTGATTCAATAATCCTGCAAATACAGAAAAATACAAGGAAAATATTATTTCAATTTTGAGATAGTATATTGTTAATCTCATATAGATCAGTAATTATTATTTGACTAATCACATAGTGGCTATTTGCAGTATTAAATTTCTAAAAAATTTAGTGGTCATAAATCACTGCCATTCATCCAGTCAATTCCTAAGTCTTGAGATAGAACCAATACTGCATTAATCTCCCTTACAGTTAGTATCTAATTAAAACAGAAACATGATGACAAGTTGACATTGATCATGTAAAAACATTATGACAAGTTGATAACCACTGTTTTTGTTTGGATCTGATAAACTATATGCCTACCTGCAGGCACTTCACTCAAAAAAGTTTTTACCCTTCATTGACAAAGCTTGCAATTAAACTGAAGTGACAGCTGACAAATAGTCTTAAATGGATATGCAAGTTTCTTGCTTCAGCATCAATGCCATCATGTTTATCAAATATATATCATTTTGGTAGGTTCAAAACATAATTTTCCGTCAAAGCCTGTATCATATGTAAGAAAGAGAACAACCTTATACATACAATAGTGCTAGTACATTATAAAGAAAGGACAAGGGCCCAGTAGATGGTTAGTTTTTCTAACCTACCACAAGCATGTTAAATTGTCAACATATTCAGAGTCAAGATAAATAAATACAGTCCAGGAACCAAAACAGATAAAGACAAGAAACTAACCGAATCCACAGATGAGATTAAGGAAACCACACACATTACAAGAGCCATTTTCCAGTGGAAGACCGGAGTACCCCATTGTAGTGGATAAGGAAATCTAAACCATGGAGAGGATTTCAATGCTTGAGATGTATCAACCCGACAATGCTTCATCCTTGAAAAATGCTTTCTGCAGTGCTCCGAAACCATATTTGAGGCAGGTATATTTATATCACACCCTTTGTAGCTGTAGGTTCCTGCTTCAGTCAGCAAGAAAGCAAACGCCCATGTAATTGCCAGACCCAAAGGAACCTGGCAGTTAGGTGAAGAAAAAGGCATCATACTTAACAGAAATCATTTGCTGCAATATAGGATTTTAATGCAACTACTGAATAGTAACTTAAAAATAAATTGGAACATTCAACTTACTGCATATATTAGAAATATGCGATGTCCAAGAACAGAGATCTTACGAAGATACTGCAAAAAGCACGAAATAACATATTACAACTTTTAGCACAGTGCAACAAGCAATAATATACCCACTGGGATTTTTTAATAAATATTAAAGAAAAAGCTCAAGGTCAATTCAACAAACTTACAAGAGAAAAAACTATAACCACTAATATCTGCACTGCTCCAATCTCAAGGCATGTACCAACTAATGGGAAACCATAACTGTAAAATGAAATTCCAACAGCAGCAATAGTCGGGGATACAACTACAGGATTGATCAACCTGAAAGGAAACTCAAAAAATGAGGCTCATATCAGCTACATTGAACAGAAAAATTAGATATGACATGTGATGTTTTTTATTTCAGATAACTCAGGCACTGATGCAATTTAAATCATGAGGAAAGGCAAAAAACTTTTGTGGGGGGGGGGGGGAGGTTGATACATGAGTGGGAAGGAACCATGTGGAAATAGTATCCAAACAAGCTATATGTAACCATATGAAGCATAGCACTTATCCAAGAAAGAATGATCACAGTATCTTAATTACGAGAACTGAAAGTTATCTATACTCTAAACCAACCAATTATCAGAACTAGATATCACCCTTAATTAATGATAAAAGAATAAAACATCATTTCCCTTTAAAAGTGCTTATAAAATACAACAAAAGTACATTTCTTAATTAGCTAATTTTATTTAATATACTTCGCAATTTGCCCAACACTATTCGGGGGAGCCTTTTTTTTTGTGGGGGGGGGGGGGGGAGAGGGGTTTAGACCTGCCAGATAATCTCCGTTCAAAAATCCTCCACATGAACTCAAAAATATCAATACATTATAGTCTCTATGCTTAATTTCATATGCCCACTTTTTATAGTTGTCTTGTTTAATTATTATGATGAGCAATGCTAATCATTTTAGCTCAACCAGTAAGAATGAATTGCGTCAACCAAAAGGCATTAAGTTGGATTCTAACTGGTGGTCCTTCATACGTTGGTTCCCACCTTCCCTATACGTACCACTGTCATCCTCATTGAGGCTTGAGGCATACATTAGGATTTGGGTCCTCTAAAGCAAGGTTGTCAAACTCAAGAGTCTACACAAACTCGGAAGGGTGAACCAAAATCGTAAATCGCAGAATCGTAACACGGATCGTAGAATCGTAACACAGGATATAAATTATATTTATATATATTTATATGCATATAAAGTAATATAATAAGCAAATTTAATTCAACCAACAAGCAAAATAATTGTTACTGGACTCATTTTATTTTTCCCAGTAAATATAAAACAAAACAGAGGCAAACATGAGGGAAAAAAAAGGTAATTTGGTTTTTAAATAATTCTGATTTGATTTATCAAAAAAATGTAATTTGGTTTATCCCACATTTGGTTTATCAAATATACATGTGGTGTGGTGTGGGCATGTGGCAGCAAATATAAGAAACAGAGGCAAAAAATTAAAAACAAAAAAATTAAAAAAAAAAAAGGTATTGAGGCAGAGAAATAGAGAAACAAAGGAAGCTAATAAAAAGAAACGAGAAAAAAAAAAGAGGCAAATAGGGATTGGTAAAAATTAAAAATAGAAAAAAAAATTACAAACAAATGAGAAACAGAGGCAGCAAAAATAAATAAATAAATAAACGAAACAGAGGCAAACAAAAAAGAAGAAAGAAACGAAGCGGAGAAGAGATTGAGGCAGAGAACACCATTCGCGACGGCGACAAAGAGAGAAGATGATCAGAGAAGCTGCGAACGACGACGAAGCACGTTGGAGAAGCTGCGAACGACGATAAAGCACGTCAGAGAAGACGATCCAGCACGACAAAGCACATCGGACGAAGCAGACAGAGTCGCGCGACCTCACTGAGTAGTACGTGGCGGCTGAAACCAGGTTTTAGGGTTTTTTTGGTGTTTAAAAAACCCATTTATACGATGGGTTTTGGGTCAAATTTTTCGGGTTTATGGGTCACTCTCCATTTCCTTGAACTCGTTAAACTCGTACGAGCTTAAGACTTTGTCAAAAAACACTGCGTTTCTACCATTTGAGTGCCAAAAGCGAGTTCGCATGGAAACGGGATCGTTGAGGGTGACCAGAAGCGTAAACTCGTCCGAGTTTGCGAGTTTACTCGCGAGTTTGACAACCATGCTCTAAAGGGCATCCTCATTAGGCATTTTAGAGATTAAAGCCCATATTGATAACTGTTGATCAAAAAATCAAAAGTATTACATACCATGACCTTGGAATAATGCAACTTCCTGTACTCCTCACATTTTATTTGCCATGTATATATAGAGAGAGGAGGGATTGTTTTACAGTGATGTAAGTCAAAATCACTCTTATACCATTCAATAACTATTTATAAGATAATTTCATATCAAAATCCACTGTTGGATTGAAAGTTTCTATCTATAAAATATTACATTCATCCAAGATTATTTAGTACTTCATTCATATACATCGAGTTTAACATATTATATAAAAATAAAAACCACTTGATTATTTTCTTATTGTTGTTCAATCTTTATAAGATTTGACAGAAACAATCAAGGTAATAGATAGTTATAATTCAATGGCATAAGAATGTTAGTATCCATCCATCCATCCCTCAATGCCCCTAAAGTTTTTGGCCAAGTTCCACCACTGCCTCTATGATTATTCTACTTAAATTTCTGAAATTTTAACATAACACATAGACTCAATCCTCAACAATAAATCCTGTTTGGTGAAACAATGAAGCGTGTACTAGTAGAAACTAACAAGAAAAATAAACAAGCATAGAAAACCCAAAAATCGTACCTTACTAACAGCGACATAAGTCCAGTATATCCAAGTAAAGCTTGAAAAGCTGATCCAATAATTATGGCCCCCTGCAGCTCCTTCATTATATGCCTGAATTTCTGCAAATTGAGAAAGAAATCTTACCAGCAGTCTATGTTTCAATTATTCCATCCGAAAATTTATAATACAACACAAACCCTAGGAGACCTTATGAATAACTAAGTAGAAACCGTTGCAAGATCCAACAACTTTGTTAGATATAACAATGATATACACAATAATTAATATTACTGAAACATAAAGAAATGGGAAGAGATACATACATTTCCATTTAAACCTTGAAACTCCGGGGAGTTGATTATCGCCAGAGCAGGTGCCAGATAAACAAAAGAAGGGCCTTGTATCAAAGGCAACCTAGACCCAAAACTAATATGCAAGAGTGTAGTCACCCCCGAGACGAAGAGCACTGTCGATACCACCATAGCAGTGTCCTCCTGTACTCACTTAACACATCAGATAACAGTACAAACCATAAGACGAAAAAACAACCAACTAAGCCAGTTGAAAATCACTCACATGAGTGCCTCCCATGGCAGGAACTATGACAAGTGGAATGAGAATCAACGAACCTAATATCGAAACGTAATGCTGGATACCGTACACACCAATGGGAACTACAGTAATCCACATAAAAAAAACCATCACCATCAACACATCAAACTTTCAACCTTAAAGAAGTGAAAGAAATCATTAAATCAAGACTCCAAAATTCCAAAATCACTTCAACTGATACCTAAACCAGGTGAATCTCTCAGCTCATACTTCATATGCGAGTGCCTGGAAACAAAACCATCGTCATCCACAGTCCGCGGCAAACCATCCACCACTTCCTCATGCCTCGCCGTTCTCCGGGGCGGCTGAGACGGCTGCTCCGCCGCGACGATTGCCTGTCCGTTAGTACTGGGAACGGAACTCTTCGGAACGCCATCGGAATCCTTCCGCTTCTTCACCGTCTGATCCTTCGCAAGCGAGGGCGCAACAACAACCTTGTCACCTTGAACGACGCCGTTCGCGGTCGCGTTTGTCCGAACCCGACCCGCTTCGAGATCCACATTCGGTTCGGGTTCTCTTGGCTTGGGCGGAAGGCTGCTAATCTGACCCGAATCGCCGACATTGGTCTCGCCAGAGAATTTGGGCTTAAAGCCGGTCTTCTTGGCCCAGGAAGAAGGCGGCATTGCTTTAGCATCCGGCGCCGGAGCCGGAGCCGGAGCCGGAGACGTCGCCGGCGGCCACGAACCTGTGCGGTGGCGATTATTTGGATCGGAATTGGACATGTTATGAAGAAGCTAATGGTGCATAGCTTCAACAATTGGTTGCAGATCTGGTGAATGGCGTTGTAGCAATGAAGAAGCGAAGGTGTTAGGGTTTCTGAGAGTGAGTGAGTGAGTAAGTGAAACTGAAAAAATGTGTATGAGAAGTGGGAAGTGGAATGGAATTGAAATGGGAAAGAAAAGAAAAACCAAATGTTGAAACTGTGAAGTTGATAGTGTGGATTGTGAAGCTAAAACCGCGTTATTATTAATAGATTTTATTTTATTATTATTATTTTTCTACTCTTTGTTCTTTCCCGGGATAATCGGTGGAGCTGAAAATGTGCATTTGGATTGTGTAAGAACTGAATTATAGGAATGATTAAATAAATAATTTCGCTTCTTAGCTTGCTAATTACGTAAGCAAGAGGGGTTAGGTAAGTTAAAAAAAGGTTGTGATTGATTGGATGATTAATTGGTTTTAGATTTTTATTTTTTATTTTTTGTTGAATTTACTAGGATCGATTTTATTTTATCCAGGTTATTTATTGTTAAAGAAAAAAAGTTAAGAAACTGATAAATCAATTGACCAATATTATGTTTTTTTTTTTTTTTTTTTGGCAATTTTTGTGTTATTTTATGTATAAAATAATATATAATGCATTGAGTTGCGAATATTGGGAACTTTTTGTTTTTGGGCTTTACAAGTTTAAAAATGTGCTGATAAAGTTTTTACAAGGATGCTTTTTTCTCGTGCCTTTTTCAAACTTACGTGGTTTTGAGATGACCCTTTTGTAATATAGCCGTAAGGCCCGTAACGATATTTGTTATCCGAAATATCTGGGAATGTTTAGGAAGGATTTTGTTTTCTTGTTTTTTTTTTTAAAACAAAAACAAAAACAAAAAAGGAGAAGGACTGAAGGAGGACGAAATTTTGCATTGTAAGGAAATATTTATGGTTCAAGGATTTTTTTGAATAAAAGTAATAAAAAGATAGATTTGTTGTGAAAATAGCGGTGAATAAATAAAATCAACTAAAGAAAATATAAAATAAATAAATAGAAATTATAAGGCCAAGAAAGTAAGGGAGAAGAAACCAAAAAATATATTATTCCGTATATCAAAATAAAAGCTCTATCACCTTAATATATAGATGAAGGTGAAGGAATAATACAAGCTTTTCATCTATTCTACCCTAAAGTCTAGTTATGTATATATGTAATCCTCCCATAAAATGTAATAATGTTCATTTGTAACAAGATTATCATGAAATTATTTAATTATTTTTTATTAATTTATTTAAAAAGGGTATTGCTTTATTATTTAAATTTAACGAATTTTCTTTCCTTTTTTTGTTCCAAAAATTCCTAGCCAAAAATTTTGTTTGAACTACACGTTATATACCTAACAAAACTTTTATAATTTTCTTAGATACAAATATTTTTAGTAAAATTATAAGGGAAAAATGTTTCTGCAATTAATGCAGATAACTTATCGGCATTTATTCTCAAAACGACGTCGTTTTGGTATTGAAATCTTAAAAAATTATAAATATAAAGACTATTATAACCCTGAAATAAATTAAAATTACAAATACACCATGATTTCTGCCCCAAAACGACGTTGTATTGGGCTTACTGCAGATAACTTATCTACAGCAACTGCAGAAAAAGCGAACCCAAATTATAAATTGTATTAAAGACTTAGATTCAAAACCAATTTACATGGTTATCATGAGTACAATTAATGGTAAAATAAGGGAGGGGTTAAGGTGGGCAATTATCTCCTTCAAGTGACATATAAACTTTTAATTTTTAAAATAACTTTTGATTTTTTTTTTGTTTGGTTGAGATTAACTTCTAATTCTTTTTTAATCATATAACTAGTGATGGATTCCTCCAAACTTATAAAAATCTTTTTAAGTGTAAGTAATCTTTTTATTTTATTTTTTATTAAATAAATAATAATAGCTTACAAAGAAATATATATGTTATAATTTCACATTCTTACAAAATTTTATGGTTCTGCTAGCTAAAATTAAGTCAATCCTCATTAATTATAAAATAGTATTCCATTTATATATTTATATATGCATCACTTTATATTAGTATATTTTTTTATTACTAAATATTATAGGATAGGTTATTCTACCTACTTTTTTTCTGCCTATCACTCTAAAAGATCATTAGATCATAATATTAATTAACATTTATCTTTCTCTCTTCTCTTTAGATTCTGATCTAACAGTGTTGGAGAGTAGTAGACAAAGATAAGCAAAAAAGAAAAAAGCAGATAAAATAACATATCCCAAATATTACTAGGCTTATCTAATTTTCTAGAAATATATACTCCGAAAGCGACGGTCATGTGTAATTAGCAGTTTTTCTTAGCTATAATGTATTATTTGAGGACAATGCCTTTTTGCTTTCATTATTTTTCGTAAGGTCTCATAATCAGTAGTTCTTTTCTAGTGTGGTTGTCTTCTTATTTTGATGACTTCTCCTTTGAGATAAGTGTCTTCCATTGCATGTGATTAACGCCACTTTTTTATCCAGCATAACAGTTATTATAGTTTTTTTTTTCTTTTTGCCTTATTTTTTTCTTTGATTTAGAATAATCTAATTTGTTATGTCTATATTTTTTTCCCCGGTAAGTTTGTCATCGGAGTTATGTTGGCATTTTTATATATAAAAAAAAGTAATTTAACGATTAATTTGACTTCCCTATGACTCTTTTCATGGTCAATTTAATAGATTATTTGACCCCGTCATAAATTTTCACTATTTTTTTCTTAAAGAAAATTGTTACAAGGGAAACTTTGTGTTTTCATTCACATTGGTTATGGCATAGATATGCAAAGCTCACCATACTAAGTTTTGACACAATTATGTTTTTAAGAACTTGAATTCAAAATTATTGATTAAGCTGGAATAATCCTTTATCAATTTATCTACATACTTTGTATTGGGCCAAATCATTTTAATTTAAGCTTAGAAGACTTTCTATTCAATAAATTTTCCGGATAACAATGAAATTGCAACATAGTTTTTCTGTTCAACAGAACCGACGGAATAAATCGTAGAAAGGTTCGTTTCAAAGCCTTAAACAATAAATATGTGAAAAGGCCAACTCTGGATGCCTTGACAAGGATACTGATCTAGTGATCTTCTTGTGATTATTTGATTGTTTAAATTCCAAATATTTTGATCTACAAAACCCTTTTGCTTTTCATTCTCACAACAATACTTTCAGTCTAGCAATTTGACCCTGAATAGCTCCGTTTTGAAACTTTTCTCAAGAAGAAAAAGAAAGCCTTTTTGAACACCAATGAAAAAGGATAAACGAATCATTAATAAATTAAAAGTTTAATTTTCATCAAAGTAAATGAAAAGGTGAAAAGAGAATTGATATGTAAAATATCTAAAATGCTTACTTCTCAATCCGCGTATTATTATCAACCATCCGGATATTATATGGTCTTTGATCATCGTTAAAATCGGAATTTTACCTGAATCAGAAGGAGAATAAAAAATCGTAAGATGTAAAATTCTAATGTAAGAAAAATCGTAAAATCGTAAAAGCATTTGAAATTTTAATACAATCGTTTTGATTGAAAAAAATCGTAAAATTGTGAAATCTAAGATTTAAATCGGGATTTTAACTACTATGGTCTTGATCATCAATGATCACACCGCATCGTTAAGTAACAAAAAGTAATTTTATGATATAATTTTTTTGTGTGTGTTTTTTTTAAATTTTTTTTTTTTAACTTTTGAAAGAAATAATAAAATCATTTATTTTTTAAAAACTTATTTAATTATCATAAAAAAAATTAAATATTTTTTAATTAAAAAACAACTTTTGTCTAAAAAAACACACAACCAAACGACCTTAAATATTACTGTAAGCGCTAATAAGCTGATAGCTTAATTAACAGGGCTTTTTGACCCTTTTGCCCCTAATTAAATAATTAATAACCAATTTGCCCCTCCCCCAGAACTATCCACCATCCTGCCCACATTTAGTCGATTAAGTTGCACTTTTAATCGACTAAATGGGGTAAACTCAGAAATCATGAAACGCGAATTTTAGTCGACTAAAAACTCACCTTAATCGACTACATTGTTTGCACTTTTAGTCGACTAAGCACATTATTTAGTCGACTAAAGATCGCGAAAAACCCTATATCCAGACCTCTCTTGGTCTCATTTTCATTATATTCGAATGTAAAACTCCTCCATTGGTCTCTTTCTCTTGTTTGTCAGCTGTGAACCTTCCAATCACCCTTCCATTTCATCACACCACCTCTAAGGCATAGTAATTGTGAAATCATTGTCATTTTCCTTTATTCTCAATTTTTTCCCCCAAATCCGAACCCAAAACCCTAAAATCTGATTCCTACCCCCAAAATTCGTGTGAAAGATGAGCTCAAGTCCAAACATGTATGTTACCATGATTTACTATTATGGAAAGCATTATGAAGTCCCCAACGGTGTTCAATTTGAAGGAAAAACGAAAATGTTGAAAATCAAACGGGGCACTACGTACAATGAGCTGAAGGGGAGGATTCACCAAAAATTGGGGCTACACGACAGCCATGGCGTTCAACGGATGATCGCCAGGGTAGAGTCTACAGTTGGTAAGGATGCTATATTCTACATTGGTAATGATATATGTGACGATGAAGATGTGGACTGTGTCATAGATGCAATTGTGGACCGAAAATTTCAAAACTTTATTGAGATATATGTTGAAATAGACTGTGGTCAATCTTCATCTGCACCTGTGCATGGAAGAGGTCAAAGTCAAGAAGACAGAGTGGTCGGTTTATCTGCACCTGCACCTGTCTTAAGTCAAATACCACTGAGGGAAATAGACGAGGATGAGGATGAGCATGACGAGGATATGGACAGTGAAGACGATGGTGAACCCGAGAGTGTTATTCCACTGGGTGACACCTCAGATACGGACGTAGAGGGGAATTTTGACGCTGATACTAGTTCAGGAAACTTGAGTTCCCAGGTTATACCACAGCTCCGTGTTGACCCTGTTAGCAGTGGTAAGATTGTAAATTAAAGTTTTAATTTTGCATATATATATATATTTGTGTTTTCTTTCGTACTGACGGATAAGTTTAAATTTAGACGTAGGTTCTGAGATTGAGCCATTTTGGAACGACAGCCCACATTATTCGTTCATTAATTGGGC